CCAGGCAAGGTGATAGGATCTCATGTGAATCGACAAGATGGACAACAGATGGGTGAACGACAAATCCAACACCTCCAATGTTCCGTGATGGAACTTTCTCACATGGAGAGTGTGCCATCACTCAGCTGCCTCACGTCCGTCTTTCTGGACTTTGTTTAGTGCAAGGCGATTACGTGGTAGTTGATGCGCCCTGCAGCTTCGAGAGGGCGTGAAGAGCGGCGTTGGTGGAGAGTGTCCTGGTATTGTAGGTGCAGAGCATGAGACAATCTCCATGGCGAGTAGTTGAAGTGTCCTTTTGGTCCGAAATCCATGGCGTCCTGTGCAACCTGACACTGGTCTTGAAGACATCCGACGCCGTAGATGTGATCCAGTGTGCAGGGCTTCTTTTCCTATTACATGCTGTTAGGGCAATGAATAGTCTCTCCAAACATTAGCAGTGCCTTGCCAGGGCCCTGCCATGCTTTCACCACAGACAATCGCTTCATAGAGACATGTGTTACCTAGCAACTTGAATCAGCGCATCCGGAAAACCGGAAACGTCGAACTCCTTCTCAGCTTGGGAGACCCTGCTGGAGGATACACCTCCGCTGTACTTCGCGGTAGATCATCACGGGGGCACGCAGCTGAATCCCTTGCGAAATCCAGCTTGTTACAGGTTGGGCTTCATCCAGTGTCCTTAATATGCAAGCGTTCGTTGCAAGTGATGGAACCTTTTCACCACGAATGATGAGTGTGCCATCACTCAGCTGTCTCACGTCCGTCTTCCTGGACTTTGTCTGCAGGGCAATTACGTGGTAGTTGATGCGCCCTACAGCTTCAAGAGGGGCGTGAAGATCGGCGTTGGTGGAGACTGACCTGGCGGTGTAGGTGCAGAGCATGAGACAATCTCCATAGCGAGTCGTTGACATGTCCTTTTGGTCCGAAATGGCGTCCTGCACAACCTGATATTGGTCTTGATGACATCCGACGCCGTAGATGTGATCCAGTGTGTAGGGCTTCTTTTTCTCTTACATGCTGTACAGGCAAGGGGTAAAGGACATCTCCCAAACATTAGCATGCATTGCCAAAGCCTCGCCAAGCTTTCATCATAGGCAATTGTTGACCTTATGTGGATCAGGGTGCCGCTTAGCGACTGAATCAGCCGGACGGTGGTGCTTCTGGCATGGCCTACTCTTAGCTAGGCATCCAGGGAGTCGAAAACTTCGAACTCCTTCTCAGCTTGGGAGACCCCGCTGGAGGATAAACTTCTGCTGTACTTCGCAGTTCGACACCCAGAGTCACTCGCGCGCCACGATGAGGCTGTAGACCATCACGGGGGTTTTCCAAATG